ACAGGGATCACTCCTGACATTGATGTTTGGTGACAGTTTATGCCCAAGAGAATATGTGACTTAGCTCTGGACACTAGGCCAGATGCTGGCAGGACCACCAAGGGATAGCTGGAAGGGCCAGTCTACTCTCTGTCTATGTAGGATTATGTGTTTACTAGTTTTTCTTTAATATTCAGGTGCCAAAATGGACTCTAATTGTAATGTATAACTCTTGCTCATGGTTTTATTTCCTAAAAATATATCTGTACTACTTTTTTTTTTTTTTTTTTTTTTTGGTTTTTGGAGACAGGGTTTCTCTGTATTGTTTTGGAGACTGTCCTGGAACTCACTCTGTAGACCAGGCTGGTCTCGAACTCACAGAGATCCGCCTGTCTCTGCCTCCCAAGTGCTGGGATTAAAGGCGTGCACCACCAATGCCCGGCCTGTACTACTCTTTCGTGTAGTGAGTTCCTACAGTTTTGGTGACTGTGTTAGTTACTTCTCCATGTCTTTAATAAAAACACCATGACCAATGCACACTATAGAGGAGTTTATTTGGGCTTACAGTCTCAGAGGGGTTAGAGTCCTTGATGGCAAACTGCAGGCATGACACTAAAGCTGGAAGCCAGGGGCTTACATTTTAAACAAGAAGCTGGAAGCAGAGAGTGTAAACTGGGACTTCTGCAAAGTTCTGAATTCTCAAAGTCTGTCCTACACCTCTTCCATCAAGATTCCGAGTCTGAAATCTACACACACAGCACCAGCTGGGGTCGGCAGAAAAACTTAAAGATTTACAGTAAAGTCTGATTCAGATGAAGTAAAACCCCTAAAAAGTTTATAGTGTGTTTAAAAATATATGTAGGTGCCGGGTGGTGGTGCCACTCGCCTTTAATCCCAGCACTCAGGAGGCAGAGGCAGGAGGATCTCCTTGAGTTTGAGGCCAGCCTGGTCTACAGAGCAAGTTCCAGGACAGCCTCCAAAACGATACAGAGAAACCCTGTCTCAAAAACCATATATATGTATATATATATATACACACACACAGACACAGACAGACAGACACACACAGGCTTGAGAGGGAAAAAGAAACAGGATAATGGCTGGGCAGTGGTGGTGAAATATGCCTTTAATCCCAGCAAATAAACAAATAAAAGTAAAATAGAATAGTAATAAAGCCACGCAAAGATATGCTATTGTGTTGTCTTTGAATTGTTTGACTGCTAAGAAATAACAACTGGTAAAATACACTTGATTATCAATGCTGCAAAATTAATCCAACTTACATATTTTAAAAATGCTTTGACTTCTAAATTTAAACATAAGGACAGGTTACTTGGGGAAAAAATTTTGTTTCTGTTTCCACAGAAAATGAAAGGCTGTGGATTCCTTCCAGGCTTCTATGGTTTGATGAAGCAAGACCCCCTGAAGCAGTGCCCCAGGCAGTCCCACATCTAAAAGAGCTGGGATGATGCAGCCTTGCAGACCACAGAAACAAGGACTTACCCAGGTTGCTGTGTTTTGTCATGATCCCCATGGTGTGGACAGTGCCCCCACCCAGCAGGAAGCAGTTTGCAATGAACAACGCCCAAATTCCCAAATATTGCTTATAAAAATGTTTGTTTTCACTTAAATGAGGTTGCTTATAAATGGTTAATGATCACAACCAATCTCTTTTTAAAGGTAAATGGGAGATTATGGTATAGAAATTGTATCAGTATGGATTTTCATTTGATACAAATTGAAGGCCTAATTTAATAGTCAAGAATTATGGTTAGGTTAGTTAGGTTTTCTAGATATATAGAGATGTATTTGAGATGGATAGATATTCTTCAAACCTTTCAAAGACCTACAGAATATATGGCATTTAAATGGTTTAGAGTTTTTCATGATAGTGAGACACAACTACTCCTGGCACACCAATTACGTCTGAGAGGAAGATGGGCATCAAAGAAACTCGTTATAGAGTTTGCTTTCAACATAATGAAACTAGCCATTTGGGCAAGAAACTGTTCATGCCTGGACTGTTCGATTTTTGATGTATAAACTGGACATGGGGGACACACAGGAAAGTGATTGCTGAACTTGGACAGTCCTACAGGGTTCCTGCTTTGTGGAAGAGTCTGCCTGATATTCTGCAGGACACAGGAAAATGACTGAAAAACTGCCAATGCAGATGAACCTTTTAAATTTTTCTGCTTTTCTGAGAAGTCTTCCAGACACACTGTGACCTATGGGATGAAGATGGATGTCCCAATGTTGCAGAGGAATTTTGGGTGACTGTCCAGGTAGCGAAATGTCTGTCAATCCTTCTGTGGTCTTTGATGGAGTTGAAGACAGTTATAGTTTTGGAAGACAGTTATAGTTTTCCTTAGTTATGATAAAAGATAAGCTACATATAAGACTTTATAATCACACAGATAGTTTAGATGATAAAATACTTTCTTTAAATCTTACTAAATGTTAATGGACAAAATATTGTAGTTATAGTTCTTACTTGATAACTGTTGTTATATATAATTTGACTACTTTAAAGTTAAAACCTTTATTTTTATTTAGACGGAGAAGAGGAGATGTGGAATTCATTCTGTGTATATGTTGATAAATAAAGCACTGTTGGCCAATAGGGAAGCAAGATATATGGGACAGGGAGTCTGGGAAATGTAGTCAAGAGTAGGGAGTCGTCGCCATATGATGGCGGGGAGAGGATGCATGAGGCTGTGTCTCTGGTAAGATAATACCTTATAAAAATATATATTAGTTTTTATGGGTTAATAATTAAGTCAGAGCTAGCCAATAAGAAATCAAAGCAAACGGCCAACAGTTTCATAATTAATATAGTGTCTCGTGTGTTATTTGGGGGTTGAGACAGCAGTGGGACCCAAGGGGCTGGCGGGAAGACTACACATTACAGGGGTCCAAGTATTCAAATGTCTGAATCCGTGTTTAAGCGTGTCTGTAGCCTAGGCATGCCTCAAACTGTAGCAGTTTCCTGCTTCATCCTCCTCAGTGCTGAGATTACAGGTGTGAACCCAAAGCTGGGGTGAAGAGTTACGTGGTAATGCTAAGCTTTGAGGAATTTTTCATTTTTTTCTCAAGGAGACCTAAGTAGGTGAAGGGAGGTAGTGAGAGCAGACAGAAAATTTCTTAAGCATCCAACACAGATAGTCCTCATGATAGGCAGAGTGCAACCATTAGACGAAGGACATTTAGCATTGCTGATTGGCTCAGGAACTGTAACAAAATAGCTACTGTAAATTTCAGAAACTTCAAAAGTCTCAGACTCATCTGCCCAACTCATCTTTAAAAATAGGAAGCTGGAGTTAGAGTACACATTTGCATGATGCCAGGCTCTCTGTAAGGATTAGCTAAAATCAGGAAGACACTCTTGGGTTCTAACTCCACAGTCTGAGTCAACACACAAGTTATGAGATTCATTCACATTCTATTTTATTTTTAATTCATGAGTAGTGTTGCACCGGATGAATATTCCAACGTACTCATTCTCCCACTGAGGGACATCTGGGCTCCTCGCGGTTTTTGCTATCCTACGTACAGTTGCAATGAGCATTTCTGGATAAGGCTCTGTCGACAGAGTTTTACTTCTCGTGGTTAATGCAGCATGTGGGACTGATGTGTCTGGCAGACACGAAACTGACAGGGCTGCACCTCCCAACAGTTTTAGAACAGCTTCTTTGGCTCAAAGAGGGGCCAAGCGGAGACAGCAGAGGATCTGATCCTAAGGCCTTCACTGGCCCTCTCACCAGGGAAGCTCTGGCGTCCGGGAAGACGCCCCTCCCCCATTACCCACAGTGGCCACGTGGGTAATCCCTCCGGGGAACAGGACTGTCTCCATGTTTCTTGGAATTCTACTTCGTTATGCTCAAGTCCTGGAAGAGGGATTTTTGAATATGAAGACTTAAAAGGGAGGATTCTGGAAAAGACGCCACTGTTAGCGAAAATCTGGTGGTTTGTTTGGGTGGAGCCACATCCCCAACCTTGTGCTTGGCATCTTCTAAAGACACCCACTTTTCTTGAGTAGGTAGTGCTAAGAAGCAGGCCCTATTAGAGGTGGTGAGGACATTGGAGTCTGCCCTCAGGAACGGGTCGCCACCACCAGAGCGGGTCCCTCCTAAAAGCCACGGTGGGTGGACGGTCACTTGCCCTGCCTCTTAGCCAACACCACGTGATGTCATTCCGCTTTCCAAAGCCCCGCCCCCAGAACCAAAAGCCAGATAAAGCATTGTTCATAATCCAACCAGGCTATAGTACTGTTATAGCAGCAGAAGAGACTAGGACAGCTCTCCCTTGTGAAAGCTAGCCTCTCCACAGCGGCGAACCCGTTACTACCCTATCTGCCCAGAGTCGGTGTAATTAAGATTTCTAACGGGTCAACTGCAGGCTTACTTTCTCACCAAAGTCTGTCACACGGGCACCGCACTGGCCTCTTCACATAGTGGACACACTGCATTTCCAAGGTGTGTGGACAGTAACAACGCAATGTGTCTGAGACCACCCTCCGGTGCGCATAGGAAATTCGGTGCGCGCTTTCATCCTGCACGTGCGCGCATGGGCAGCAGTGTGGGACAGGCAGGTGCAGAACCCCTGGTGTTGCCCATCACCCAAGGGCTCTCCCCCAGCCTTCCCGGCAGATCTGGCTCTGGGGTTCCCAGGGAGGGGGAAGAAACAAGCCTGGACCAATGGCAGCTCTTGAACTCACACCTCCGGACGTCAGTGCGGCTGTGGAAACGGATGTCACACAGCTGGCTCGGAAGCTTCTCTGCTCTTGCGTGCACCCCGAGCGCGGGAGGGAGGCAGGGAGGCGCGGCCCCGCTCGCCAGCGCGCGCCGCCCCGAGAGCCCGCTTCTCCCCGCTGCTCCCGCCCTGGGTGAGCCCCCACCACCCCGCGCCCGGCTCCGCCCCCCTCCGGCGCGTCCCCGCGCCCGACTCCGCCCCCTCCCTGGCGCGCCCCCGCGCCCGACTCCGCCCCCCTCCCGGCGCGCCCCCGCGGCGGCGAGTGGTGTGGCGGGCGGGCGCGCGCGCCGCCGACCGAGCCGCAGTTAAAATGGTCCGAGCGGGGCCGGCGTCCTCCCCGCTGCCCTGCCTGACCCGGCTGCCTTAGCCGGGCGGGCTCGCTCCCTCCTCCCGCAGCCCGCGTCCCCACCGCTCGCGCCCATCGTTCTCCCGGCGGCCTCCCCGGGTGGCGGGGAGGGCAAAGCATGTAGCCCGCGTCGGGCACCCGGGCGGCCTCGCAGCTGACGCCCACCCACCCTCCCTCCCTGCCTCCCGCCCGCCCGCCCCCGCCGCCGTCGCGTGTGCCCGGTGCGCAGCGCGGGCGACCCTGCGGCGGGCCAAGAGGCCCGGGCCAGCCAGCGGCCTGCCCCGCCGCCTTCGCCTTCGGAGCCCGCCCCTCGGGCTTCCCTCCCTCCCTCGCTCCCGCCGCCCGCCCGCCCGCCCCGTCCCGCTCGCCCTCCTCGGGGCCCTTCTATATGGGCCACCTCCTCTCGAAGGAGCCGCGTAACCGCCCGAGCCAGAAGAGGCCTCGCTGCTGCAGCTGGTGCCGCCGCCGGCGCCCTCTCCTCACACTGCCCCGCCGCACTCCGGCCAAGGCGGCCCCGCAGCCCGCGGCGCCCCGGAGCCGGGACTGCTTCTTCCGCGGGCCCTGCATGCTCTGCTTCATCGTGCACAGCCCCGGCGCGCCCGCCCCCGCCGGCCTAGAGGAGGAGCCGCCGCTCTCGCCGCCGCCGCCACTGTCGCCGCGGGCCGGGGCCTACGCCGCCGCCACCGCCGCCGCCGCCTCCTCGCAGCACCTGGCGCGGCGCTACGCGGCCCTGGCCGCCGAGGACTGCGCCGCCGCCGCCGCCGTCGCCCGCCGCTTCCTGCTGTCCTCGGCCGCCGCCGCCTCGGCCTCGTCGCCCGCGTCCTGCTGCAAGGAGCTGGGGCTGGCGGCCGCCGCCGCCGCCGCCTGGGAGCCGCAGGGCCCGAGCCTCTTCCTGGCTAGCGTGGGGCCCGTGCGCCTCCTGGGACCGCCGGCCGCCGTGCAGCTCTTCCGGGGCCCGCAGCCGCCGCCGCCGCCGCCGCCTCCTCCGGCCGAGTCGCCCGCGGTCCTCGAGATGGTTTGCAAGCGCAAGGGGGCCGGGGTCCCCGCCTGCACCCCCTGCAAGCAGCCCCGCTGCGGCGGCGGCGGGGGCGGGGGCGGCGGGGGCTGCGGCGGGGGCGGCGGCGGCGGCGGGGGAGGAGGAGGAGGAGGAGGGCCGGCGGGGGGAGGGGCCTCGCCGCCGCGGCCGCCCGATGCCGGCTGCTGCCAGGCCCCGGAGCAGCCCCCGCCGCCGCCGCCGCTCCCGCCCGCCTCCGAGTGCGCCCCCATCGAGGCCGCCGGGGACGCTGTCCCAGCCGGGGGCGCCGCCCCCTCGTCCCCCCAGCAGCAGCCGGAGAGCGGCGACGCGGACTGTCAGGAGCCCCCCGAGAACCCCTGCGACTGTCACAGGGAGCCGCCCCCCGAGATCCCAGACATCAACCAACTGCCGCCGTCCATCCTGCTTAAGGTGGGTCTGGGCGAGGGAGGCGCAGGGAGGGATGCTCGCTTCCACCCCAACCTCCCCCGCCTCCTCCGAGGTTTGCTCGCTCGCCAGTCCGCCCGCCCGCCCGCCCGCCGGCTCCCTCCTCCCGCTGTGTGCAGAGGAGGGGGGTTCCCTGACAGCCGGGGGACGCCGGAAGGGGGAGACTGGGCAGCCGGTGGGGCCAGGGCGCCCGGCCTGGCTTTGAAGTAGACAAACTTGGAGTCTGCAGAGTGCCTTTGTAGTAGTTCAGGTCCGCTAGCTTCAGTGACTCGGGGGTTCGTGGATCGCACTAGCCAACCCCCGGTATAGAAACGACCAGATCTCTCTCGGTGGGATAAACGTGCGTTCTTGGGCAGTTTGTCTACAGTGGGTCTCGACTTTCCATGCTGGTGTTTGAAAGTTTTCAAGTTTTGACAGCTGCTCGCAAGTGTGGCAGTAACTTGTGTTAGGCTTGCACAGTGATCAGTCGCTGCATCGGAGCTTTCTCTGTTACAAGTCTCACGGATTTCTCCAGTAGATGCTGTGAGATAAGGCCTGTTGTTTATATATGCAAATAGAAAGGGGCATGTTTGTGTTTTGGTGCAGATGACAGACACTGGAAGGGGAATTTTTTTTCTCTTGTGAAGCTAACAGTCCAGGTGGACTTGGTGTGCCTGAGTGACTGTTCAAGGTCACACCCATAAGCTAAAGGGCACATCTGGCTGGTGAACTAGGGAGTTTGGCTAGGTTCACCTGAGCCAAAACAAGCCCAGCCACCCTGTTGTTCATGCTGTTTTTCCTTCCTACATCTTTACCTTGCTGTACAAAAGTGGGTTACAAGTTAGAAGTCCTTTTTTCCTTGGGGGTTGGCTGAGTGAGGTGTTGAAGTGCCGGTGGGAACTTTGTGTCACTTTCCCAAGTGAAAGTTCCAGTTTTGTCAGTGCTACGGACAGAGTTCGTGATGGAGTTTGTATTAAGTTATTAACTTCTTTTGCCCCTTGCTTTCTGTCTCTGTTAGCATACCTTTCTCAGTGTGGGTGATATTTAAGTACGACTAGCCTGAAATAACCTTCAGGAGAATTTGGCTACCCTTATTGTCCCTGAGGTAACTGTCCTGAATTAGAACTCTTCCTGTCACATCAGTGCACCTTCTTGGGTTAGACTTTCTGCATATTTCTACTTCTCTGTTTAGATCTGCTTCAGTATGACATTGATGTTCTTGTGAACAGTACAGCAGGAGTGGGCAGGTTTACCATTTCCTTGTGTCAAACTAATGGTTTAATTATTATATAGGTGTATTTGTTGGAGGAGTAACTACTGTGTGTGTGTGCGTGCATGTGCTCGTCCACAGGGGATGCATTTTTGGGCAGAGGAAAGTTGAGAGTCTCAAGTCCTTTAAATCCCTGGATGACACGGGTAAATAAACTATCCACAGACATTTCTAGAAGTTTCATTGCTGTCTTCTTCTTTGATAGTCAGAGTGTAGAAGCCAACTGAGACAATCTGGATTCTTTTCTCATTTTACCTAAGGGCATTATTTACGTATTATCTTTTTGGTTTCTTGTGACCGGTCTCACTGTGTAGCCCAGGCTGGCCTCCAAACTCTTGTTCCTTTTGCTTCAGTAATTCGAATGCTGGGATTACAGGTGCACACCACCATGCTTGTAAAGAACATTTCAGGCTTTAACTAAGAAGGGACATTAGCCCACAGTAAAGGGAAATGCTAAAGGGGAAATTATCTATGTTCTCCTTTTTTTCTTCTTCAAGAATTGTTGGTGACTTGGTCTGAGACATTTAGGACTTGCTTGTTGTGTTGGAGTATTTGGACACGGTGTAAAGATTCTCAGTGTTGTTGTCCGGGGGTCTGGGTCCCCTCAAGTAGGGCGGTAGTTCCGAAAGAACGAGTGCTTTGTGGGAGTGGTCAAAGACTGGGTCTCCATGCCTGTGCTGTGCTGCTGTAAGAGGAGGTTATGGTTGACACGTTAGACTTGGACCGTGTTAGCGCTGTAGGAAGATGAAGTGTTGTGACTCTGGTGAGCACGGGAAGTGCTCGCTTTGGGGAGGAAACTTTTCTCCTCCCTTCATTAGAGAGGAGGCTGCTGTCCAGAGAGGCACACACTCTTGCACTCGGTGCTCCTAGTGTAATCTTCCTGAAGCGGGGAGTAATCGTGTTGTCTCCTGCTGCCTGTCCTCCTCTTCCTCCTCTCTTCCTCCTTTGTAAGTTGCTAAAGAAGATGGAGGTTATCGAAAGAGTTTGGGAAGGAATCTGAGGAATTTAAAGGAATTTTGGGGGAAGTTGGGGGGAAGTTAGGGGGAAGCCTCCATACTTGCCCAGTTTCTTCTGAGTAGTGTAAAGACAACAGCTGTGCTGCTTCAAGGGTGGTTCTGGCTCAACATGAAGGAGGTGTTTACTTTAGTGCTAAATGCACCCTTCCTTGAAGTGCTCCACAGTTGCCAACAAAGACAGAGTTGGCTTTGCTGTAGCATTTCCTGCCATTTCATCTTGTGTCCCAGAGTTAGACTAACCACTGCTAACAACTGAGATTATCTTTCTAGACCCACACCATCCAATATGTTAGTCACTAGTCATAGGTACTTACATTTACAATGGTTAAGTAAAAGTTGAAATTCAGTTTTTCAATTGTAAGAGTCAGAAATCCACAGTCAACATATCCTTACTACCTCCTCTACTGGGCTTTGGGATATTTCCTTCATTGCAGAGAGAGCTGTGTATACTTAACACCCCCCACACCCTCCATGCCCATGGTATCAAAATGTCCATGTGCCTAGTGTGATCGGGAAGTCTTTTTTCTGTATCATATAGTTTCCTTCATTTTAAACTACTGCTTAGTATCCCATAGTATTATATTGTCTTCTGTTAAGACATGTTTTGAGTTTTATTTTGGTACTAGAACAATGTATACAGGTGTTGTCTATACACCCATGGTAGTAATTTTGATGCTAAGTATTAAGAAAGTGGAAATCTGGATCGGAGAGTATGTGCTTGACAGTTTAGGAGCCTTTGGTAACAATGGCTTAAAATAGTAAACATTCCTGGAAATTGTAATTGCGCAGCTCAAGAACAGGGAGTGATTGCTGAGATCCTCTAGTCACTCCCAACCCTTAACAAATGCAGAAAGAGAAGGGATGTCTCACTCAACTACATCTTAGTGAATGGCAGAGCCTGGCTGCAGTCCAGTGTGTTTACAGCTGTAGACATCTCTTGAATGTACTGTCAAGAGGACTTGAGTACTCTCTCAGGGAGTTTATGAAAGGCATTCCTGAATGGGGGGAGCTGTTTGCTTACTGCAGAGACCCTGAAGCCTTTGAAGGAGGCTGCTTTATGACCATGTGGCCGTAGTGTGGTCTTCATAGGAAATGTGAGAAGCCGGGCCTGTCTCTTCTAAGGGTGGCTCTGGGATAGCATTTCCAGGACCTAACCTGTTGTGCTAGGGCTTTGGCTCCTGCATTGTTTTGATCTTGCTAGTTGTTGCCTTTACAACTTTAAGTCATTGCACATACAAAACTTACAGATTAGTTTTTATATGATGTAACCTTTGTGCAGCAGCGACTTTCCTGACATGTTCTCTATTTGTCTGAGTGGCCACCTTGAAATACACATTCAATACTAGAGGTGTTGTTTGCTTTAGGTTTACATTGTGTCCTGTTCTCCCTTAGCAAGCCCGTTTCTTGTCAGAACGGCAGTGGGAGAACTTGTCTCTCATGACCAGCAGAAGTCCTTCTCTACAGTGCTTTCACTCTCACCTGTCATAGGAAGTCTTTAGTTTGGTAGAGTTATTGCAGACGGGCTGCTTCAGTGTCAAGGAAGTGTCAATTAGAGACATTTGCTCTGGTGGAAAGCCTGGAATGTTTTAGGAAGCCTGGTTTACCATTGTTCCTTTCCAAAGTGTGCTAAGTGGTCTTAGGTTATTAGCCTACCAAAAAGTGCGGTTTACTTAAGAGTTCTGTCAGTGGTGTTTTGTGGTGAATGCTGTTGGGGGTTACCTGCAGTCTTTGTTGAGCCTAGAGTTTGAGGTTGTGTAAAGATGGCAGAGAGGGTGAGTAAGAAGCACCTCACGTTAGCGTCACGGACTCTAAAGACGTTGCTCAGCCTTCCCCCTCCTTTGTTTTTATGTATTACTTTCCTTTGCAGGCTGATAAGCAAAGCCAGCCTAGATCCCTGCAGATTTAATCAGGGTTCTGAGGATCAAAACTGCCATTTATTTTTACAAGAGAGAAAACTGGAGAAGTACCAGTCGGGCTGCAGCTCAGCTGCTGCTTGACACCTGTGAGCATGCGAAGAGCAAATTAGTCCTGTAAAACTACAGAGTCAGGGCCACTGAGAAGACTCAGCCGGTAAAGGTGCTTACCACCGAGGCGGACAACCTGAGTTCAGCTTTTGGGACCCAAGTGGTGGAAGGAGAAAGAACTCCTGCAAGTTGTCTTCTGACCTCTACATATGTCTCACACACACCTAAACACACACACGCACACACACTCTCTTATGTACATGTATGCACACATTTCTGTACACATACACTCTTGCGTGCATACATTTCTTGTGTCTGTGTAAATACATACACTCCTTCACAAATTCACCCCGCACACAAATAAATGAAGTGTAAAACCAAAACATCCAGTTTAGAGGCGGCCCTAAAGTTACACAAATGACTTCGGCTCCTCAAATCTTTATTTTCTCATCTCTACAGTTTGGGGATGAGCATAAAATACCCACGTGACTTGGAGCTGCTGGAGGACATGGCAAGTTTAGCACATCCCTTCCGAAGAACAACATCGTGGTCCAACTGTTTGGGCTTCAGAATTAAATCAAAGACAAATACTAGATGACTTTATTCTTAGGAATAGTGAAGTTCCGTGACATCTAGGGTAGTGTTCCGTCTGGAACAGTAAGTGAAGACTTCTTGTCACCTCAAGGCAGAGGACGGTGGGTGGGGAGGCTTACATGATGCTGGGTAAGGAGCCAGGAACGGAACAAGGAGACCGTG